TGTTTCTGTCTGTCACAAGTTAATATTATACGCAGTGTTTAGTCAGTTCATTGGATCTCTTCTGAATGAAAATTTGCTCTGTTTATTATGAGGTGTTCTCATCATGATGCTAAGTTGGATCCTAATAGCATTATCCAGAGCTTCATTATCCAGACTGGGACCCCTGTTGCTGCTGCAGATCTTTTCCATACAAGAAAAGTTTTTTGATATAATAAACACATATCTGACAATGCTGTGTCATCTAAACTAACCTTTGAAAATCACGTTAAATAAATAACATGAAACTTTTTCTAAAATAAAATGGATCCCAATTTATCTTGGTGTTTGGATATTCCAGACATTATTTATTCATTTATTATCTAATAATGTTTAGATGCGGAATAACGTGATAATGATAGTGCTAGGAATCATGACTTTCAACTTTTAAAATGACTTTCTACAGGAGCACCATGGAGTGATCTGACCAGCTGTCTCACTGTGTGGTGAGGAGGCTGCAGCATCTCAGACTCGAAGAAGGTGGTGAGAACAGCAGAGAGGATCATCAGAGCTTCTCTTCCCTCCATAAAAAAAAAAAAATTCATCCCAGCGCTGCGTGTTCCGTGCCTGTAACATCATAAATGATCCCTCACACCCCCACCATTGACTGTTCTCCCTGCTGCCCTCTGGGAAGAGGCTTTGCAGCATCTGATGCAGGTCCAGCAGATTCCAGAATAGTTTCTTCCCCACTGCCATTAGACTGATAAATGTTATGTAAAATGGGTTATAAAAAAAGAAAATCTGAAATGTTAGAACTGTAACTACACAGTCATATGTTTACATCACTTTTTTTCATCACAATGTTTTTATCACTGCTGCTTACCTGCACTTTAAAAAAATGTAATAGTCTAGAGAGCCTAAATTTCTTTTTGTTTACACTTTTGTGTTCAAAATGACAAAATAAAATCTGTCTAAGTCTAAAACATTAACAGTAACCATGGCAACGGCATTTTTAAACACATTTATTTATATATCCTCTCATCCAAACAAATCTGTTAACAGTTTGTATGTCTTCGAAAGGAATATTTATTTTGTTCCACCAAAGATGAAAGAAGTTAATTTTAAAACTATAAATAATATATATCCATGTGCAGAGTTCTTAAGTTTAAGATTTAAATTTGAT